TTTTTCTATGTCATCAAAAATAAACAAAATAAGGAGTTTTCACGCATTTAAATATTATACCTACCTAAAAAATTTTGTCAGGTATAATAATATTCAGTTTATATGTATATTACTATAGGTACTGATAAACTKGTTACTAAACAGTGAATAGTGTACATACTTACATCATAAGTTATATTAACGTATGATAATTTCATTTTTAATCATTGTGCCTGACACTTACATATAATAATAATAATATTTTATTTCGATTATATATAAAATAATGTAAAAGAGAAGTAAAAACAACATATTAATTGCCCAAGTTTTTCATAACATCAYATTCGTTTTGTTCCTGATAAAATGAAACGAATTTTAAGCTTACGCCATCGCCATGAAGATGAATGGTTAGAAAACATGGTTTCCTTTAAGGTGTACAGTTAATAATAGATAGGGTTTAATATAGAAGATTTATTGTGCACACACGTGGATTACTTTTGAGCATTATTGTATGAATCCATCAATACATACATACATACATACATACATACATACATCGTTTCATCATTTGAAATCAATTAGTTTTAATTGGAGTTTTCTTCACATAAAATATTAAACCTTAAACTTATAAGTATAGTAAATTATCTTACTAAATAACAAGATAAAGTTACTAATTTCAATCATAACATTATACACAAAAAATTCTTAATTGTCTATATGAAATAAAGAAAAGATAGTACCTTCCCCGTTATTTAATACAATAGGTAGGCGGAAGAGTATTTTTCATTTAAAAAGAACTATTTAATATCAAATAACATATAAAATACATGCGAATTAATAAACAATTGATTTGTCGAACTCTTATAATAAGAAAAGGTTGTATTGAAGGCAAAGAGTTATTTAATTAATTACAATAACAAGTATTTAATAATATTTGTTGTTTTCAAATTAATTTGTTTCATTCTATTGGAACTTTGGAAGTATAATTGGTTTAAATATTAATTTGTTGTGTTATCAAGAAAATGAAACTAAATGGTTTTTAATAAGCACAAATCATATAACTTTTGATGATTGAGTAAAATCATATAATATAATATTTAAGCGAATACTTACTAGTTACTAGATCATAAATATATTACAGTCAGTTAAGTTTTGTAAAATAACAGGTGGAATTTAGCATTAATAAATTATAAATTATAATATTTTTATTATAAATCAAAATATTTAGAAACAAATAATGAATATGTTTAGAAATTTAAAACCTACAAAACATCCATAAATATTTAATGGTTTTTGGATAAGAAATAATATTTAACAAGGTAAAACTAACTATTGCTGATAAATTCCAATGTAATTGTTTTTTTTTTTAACTGGTAATTTAGATTCCAAAATACAGACTTCAGACTCCCGATGGTTAAATCCTACATACAGTATCTCTCAATAAATTTTTTTAGCCAACTAAACAACGTCAAAAGTGCAAAATATTTCAAACTCAGCGATAAGCCTACCCTCCGGCGTCTCAAGCGCGGACGTTCTCATGATGCCCTTTCTCAACACCAATAAGATTTACAAAAAAAAAA